TGTGGGGTTTGGCTGGAGATGAGAAGAGAGAGGTGAGGAGAGTTGCGACGCTGAAAACGAGAAAAAGAGGGGTGGTGAGAACTGTGTGTTTATAGGGGTAGGCGTTTTAGATTTTCTTTAAGCGCTGCTATTATTAGCAGGAGAGAGAGAGAGAGAGACATGAGCTTTGATTGGGGGTTGGTTTTAGAAGGAAAGTTCAAAAAAGATGGGAGTGATTAGTGGATTTGATTGGGGAGAAATTGGAAGAAATTCATAAATTCAAATTTAGAGGAAAAATAAGAGGGGGAAAAATAAATTCGAAGATTTCATATAATATCTGAATTATATTAATAATTAATAATCAATAAAATATCTTTTTATTATATTATATTACTAAATGTACTATACCAAGTTCTAGTTATACATAATAATACTAACGATAAATAATATTAATCACCAAATGATTTATATATAAAAATCACTAAACCGAAATTATATTTTTAGCGAATTAAAAAATACAAGACTATATATTTTATTATTTCTTATTTGAAAACTTCAGAAAAATTTCCAGAAATTAAGAAAGTATTAATAAAATTAATATATTATTTTAAATACTAGAAAAATTTATTTAAATACGTATCAAAATTCACGGTTGTTACACTATTTGTAACTGAGAGAGCTTTTCTTAAACATCAAACAACATTATGGATCAATCAAATCAAAAAATTCAGTTTATATAATAAAACATACCTTTGTTTTGGTTCTCAATTCCAAATTCACAATTCTAACAAGTTCTTGATCTTGCAGGGCTCCTTATTGGCTTTCGTATACTATGATGTTGAGGTTGTTGGCTATCTGTAATTAATTAAAAAATAAAAAAATATTTTTTTCTAACAATCAACCCAAATTGTTTTTTTATAAGGTCTAATTTTAACCTGGTTATAAAGGTACACACCCTTCTGTTCAATTGTGACCATTCGCTAGCTTCTGCATTATCTTTTGTAGGCTCACCGACAACTGATCTTGTGATTCTGGTTGCAAATTTGAAACCTAGGATAAATTCAAAGGTAAAGTTGTAAGTTTTTATGCGAGATTTGATATCTGTTGATTATGAGAGATGAGAAAATTGTGAAGAATGAGAGATTGCAAGTGATTACATTCGAGTGGCTCGAGCTTCAGTAGCAAGTGGCCCAAACGGATGTTGGAAAATGGCTCAGCTGCCGTTGCTCAAAATCGAGCTAAACAAACATTGTGAGAGTCACCTGTAATCCCAAGCACTCACAATGATCAAATTGATTTTAATTGAGAGTGAAAGATGCAACTCCGCCTTTGGAATTCCAAGCACTCTCCATTTTAATAGATTTTAATTGAGAAAGCGCAAACGCCAGTCTCCACCTTTAAAATTAATTAACTCTCCATAATTTAATTAGCTGATTTTAATTGAGAGAGAAAGCCATATATCAATCTTTGAAATTCAGAGCAAGCAATTTGGTTTAACACATTAACAAACATTGTGATAGTCACATGTGATCCCAAGCACTCACCATGATCAAACTAATTTTAATTGAGAGAGAAAGATGCAACTTCACCTTTGGAATTCCAAGCACTCTCCATTTTAATAGATTTTAATTGAGAAAGTGTAAACAACATGTCTCCACCTTTAAAATTAATTAACTCTAATTAGCTAATTTTAATTGAGAGAGAAAGTCATAACTCAATCTTTGGAATTCAGAGCAAACAATTTGGTTTAATACATTACCCTCTATATTTTAGTGCACATAGTAAAGTTTACAAGATGTTACATAATTGATTTGAAGGGAGTGTGGTTTTGTGTAATTATTACATTTGATGATTTAATTAATTAAATTAGGTTGCATATTAATTTGAGTGCAATATGGTGATTTGAGTGAATTTTGAAGGATATTTTGGGAAATCAAAAATTTGAGTGCAATATGGTGATTTGAGTGAATTTTGAAGGATATTTTGGGAAATCAAAAGTTTTGACACTTATATTCTCTTTTATAAGTAATTTGAGTGAATTTTGAAGGATATTTTGGGAAATCAAAAGTTTTGACACTTATATTCTCTTTTATAAGTGGTATAGATTGGTAATGTTTTAGGAATTTGTATTGATTAAGAAACAACTCCCATTTGATTCTAATATTGACTGATTTGTTTTCTCAACCATAAAAAGTCTTTTAAAGATATTTTTTATTATTTCTATTTTTGGTATAATTAGAATCATAGTCGTAGTCTAGTTTATTTTTCTATTTAAATATAAGATTATAAACCCTAGAGGCATAACTTTTTTATTAATGAATTTCTTTTTAATAATTTATTCTTGGATTTGAAATTCTACGTGGATTAAAAAATTGTTCTTTGTTAATTCAAAGAATAACCATTGGTGGATTCCAATGCTTTCTTACTACCTTGATGTGTTAACTCAAACATTTTCTACTACAAAAAATAGTAGAGAGACCACTATCCCTAACCCTAATAGTTGCTTCATGTAGCTAATGATTGTGATTTGTGTGCAAATCAAAAAATAAGTGCAATTCATGGGAGTGTAGTGAGTGCTATATTAAGAATAAATTACAATTGTCCATTAAACAAACCGAAGTTTATATTTAGAAGTACCAGACTCACCACAACTATTTTGAAGCAAAGAAGATCCAAATTCTCAATATATAACAACTGGAAATCTGCTTTTTCTTGGAGATGCGCCGATAATTTTGAAATTAGTAAATCTATACCATACTATTACATAAAAAATTAAGTGAGGGTAGTCTAAAATTTAGATGAGTGGTGGACATGTCCTCATTTTTATTGCAATTTAAGAGACAAAAAGGTAATTTTATAAACAAATCTCTTTCTTTTTTCTTCTCTTACTTTTCTTTTCTTTAAGAACATTCTAGATTATTTAATGTCTTGAAAATAACATTGAAGCCCATGTATTCATTATACTTTATTTTATAAATGATACATAGAGAAAGTGATTATTTTTTTTGTAAATGTAGATATACCTAAATAAAAGTGTCTAAGTTTATATACATATATCTATACTATTATTATGTTAATTAATATACGAGGAAAATTAATATTAATAAAAACATCAAGATCAAATTATAATGGTAAAAGAACGATTTCTTATAGAAAGTCATGTAATTCTCACCCTCTTTACATCCGCTATAAATTCACACATTCAATATATATAACATATTTTTTATATTTAAAAATGTAAAATAGTTTTTCGCTATCGTATGCATCTGCACGTGTCAAATTTCTATTGTTCATATAAAAAATTTATTGGATAGTTCAAATAGATTCCTTTGAAACTATTTGGACGAGAGTCAGAATGAGAATGGATACACGAGAGAGAAATACAAACTTCAAAGTAATGTTTAATAGCTCTTTACCAAGTATATAATTATATGATAAATGAATGCCTATGATATAGGGTTTGGAGTAGGGGTGTGCAACGGTCGGTTCGGTTCGGTTTTTACCAAAATTTAAACAACCGAACCGAACCGCCTATAATTCAAAACCGAACCGAACTGTTGCAAGTCGGTTCGGTGCGGTTCGGTTCGGTTTGTTCGGTTCTAACTTCATCAAACTTCTTATCAAATAACAAACTATATTAAAGAAAAAAAGATATCAACAACAAAGTAGGAGATTATGAAACATTAAACACTGATATAATGATATTGTTTTCAGCCTATAATGATTCAGAAAATAAGTTTAGGGTTTGAGTGTTTGACTCTTTGGGGATGGGTCGGGTAGGGTTTGAGATTAGAATGAGTAGTATTACACTATATTCGGTCGGTTCGGGTTGAAAAGTTTTCAAACCGACCCGAACCGCCCTACTCATAAAACCGATTTTTTCGGGTCGGTTCGGGTCGGTTCGGTCGGTTTTTTCGGTTTAGACCGAACCATGCTCAGCCTTGGTTTGGAGACACCTCAAATTCGCAAACACCTGGCCTACATATTTGCCGCTAAATGACAATTATATACCCTATAGTTTCACTGTTGTAGCACTTAAAAAACTCAAGTAACAAGATATAGAAAACAAACACCCTGACTGTTAGTAGCCGTTTGAATTTGACTAACTATGATAAAAAATATCCGAATAGACAATATTACCCCTCCTCTAGAAATAACCCCTCCATATAGTGAAGTAGTAAATATTAAAATGAATAAGTGTAAAAAGCTTTTAATTGGGTGACATGGCAATATGTAAAAATATTTTATAGAATATTCTGACGGCTAGTTAAAATAAAGATAACAACTTGCATAATTTTATTAATTAAAGATATTTTTTTTATTATGCTTTGTAACATGAGGGTATTTAAATGCTACAAGTAAGATGTATAAGTGGATAACTACCATTTTATATTTTACCTTTCGAATCGACGCTAATATTAACCGTGTGAAAGGTTATTTTGGGTCCTTAAATTATTTTCCAAATGGAGGTGTTCTATACGAATATTTTAATTCGATAAAGGGACCCACAACATGGACGTGCGTTGGGCCCACCACTTGCATGCAATCACTTCTCGCAGTTATGAAAAGCGCCCAGTTTTAGAGATGAGCGTTCTCCACACGCATTATTATCAGCACAAACAACGAGGCAGCTCCTGGGGGTCCCCACCGTCAGGACCCATGACTCCACCACCTAAATTGGGTCCCACTACTGATTGGCTTAATATTCGTGTGCCGTTGAGTTAGGGTGCCCTCATAAGAGTCGCTTTCGTCATCCTCTCGGCACTCCTCCAATAATGATTTGGATTCCTTAAATCTGTAATGTTTCGACATTAGTCCCTCAACTCAAGAGATTTTCTGTTGAGTCCACCTGTTGATTTGTGAGGGATTAGTTTGCAATAAATCGTAACGATTGGTGTATTCTATAGCAATACGATGAAATTTGGGTAGTGGTTCCGAAATAGTAAAGATATGAGGAGCTAATACGTAAAAAACCCTTCTTTTTTATTTAAATCCTCCACTCACTCGCCCGGTACCGTGTTTTCACCCGAAACGAACCGTTTTGTTTTCTCCTTCCGGTGACGGAACCAGAAACGTAGGGATACCGGTGACCGGCACGTGTCGGTTTCTTATGGATTCGTTCCGCCCTCAGAAATCTCCAGGCTCCGATCGATTCCTCGGTCTCCTCTCCTCCTCCCCTCCCTCCGCCGCCTTCTCCGGCGGCGGCGCCGGCTTCGAGCTCGACGAGCACGACCCTCCCCTCCCTCCGCCGCCTTCTCCGGCGGCGGCGCCGGCTTCGAGCTCGACGAGCACGACATCTTCTCAACCGACACAGATCCAAACCCTAACCCTAACCCTAGCCCTAGCCCTAGCACCTCGATCCTCCACCATTCCCCTCTAAACCCTAACCCTAACTCCAGCACGAGCAGATCGCCGCTCTCGCCGTTCCATCGGGAGCGCAACTTCGGCATCCTCGCCGCTTTGCCGGAGGATTCCAAGGCCAGAAGCCCTAACCCTAAGTTCCTCCAGCGGAAGCCTTCGATCTCGTCGGCGTCATCATCGGCATCGACGTCACCGTCTTCGTCAGCGAGGATGATTCCGGTGATCCCGAAGCCGAAGCCGGTGGAGTATGGCGGGAAATTAGGGCACCATCAGTATCAATCAGCGCCAGTGAATGTGCCGCGTGGTCCCCGCGAGGTATAAGGGACGGCACTCGGTGGAGAGAGAAGAGGGGGGTGTGACGACGACGACGAGGACGAGATGATGCTGCCGCCGCATGAGATCGTGGATCGCAGGGGAGAGGGGAGCCGTTGACGACCTTCTCGGTGCTCGAAGGGGTCGGGAGGACGCTGAAAGGGAGAGATTTGAGGAGAGTGAGGAATGCGGTCTGGCGCAAAACAGGTTTTCTTGATTGAAACTTTGAATTGGTAATTAATTTAGTGTGTTCTTGCTATATTAGCTTTCTTTTCTTATTGCGAGTGAGGTCAAACTGTGGAGGTGCCTGAGGATAGAAGGAAATTGGTGGTTTAGTCAACGGGAATAAACAAGGGAACTATATTTCATTGGATTGCTTCTTAGACTCTTATTTTAGTCAAAAATTGGTTGACTTTACTGGAAAAGAGTGACCTTTTGATCTTACTTTCCCTTAGTTTGTTTCACTAAAAAGCAGTAAAATAGGTGTTATAGGATTTTTGTGCTGATAGAGCGCCAGTATTCTTCGAACCAATTTTCTTTCCTGAAACACGTTTTGCATGTGTATGATGAGTGTGGTTTAATCTGATAACTGTTTCTTAAGAAGAATGATTGATGATTATATGCTTATTTAAAGTTTTAATCTGCAACATGAAAAGATGCGTTGTGATTTCCCTTCTGTGCCAAATAAGTTTTATTCGAATATCTGCTGTAACTATCTATTCAAATTGTTAATAAATAGCACTTCATTTTCTCATCAACTATGACTACCATATGTTGAAACAAGCACTTGTAGTTTCTTTTCTGGAATTATTTCCAACTGAGCAATGTTGATCATGGGATTCCGTGTTGATTTGTTTACTCAATAGTTATTTCACCTTGATTCATTGTATTTTAATTATCGATTCTTTGTCATGGATCAAGATTTCCACAGCATTCTATAACACGCGTACATTGTCAATGTGTTTGAATCTTTCTATGCTCTTGCGTGATGAAAGAAAACTAAGTCACATATATGCTAGTTTGTTGCAATGTTGTTTTAGTCTTTTAGATGCATGCCTTGTTGTTGGATTACATTGACAAGGGTACCCAAGGATCACATTGAGAAGAGTAATGTTGATTGACAAGGAAACTGTCTGCTTAATACTTCACTAATAGGTTTTTCAGAGCAAACCTCAAGTTGGTTTACTGCTTGTATATGCTCCATACCAGTAGGATATAGAATGCCATCTTAGTTCTTTGACATTTTCAAATTTGGGTGAACGTGCATCAAGTACACAATTGACAATGCTTCACATTTGTTCTTAGCTCTTGAATTATGAAGAATTTGATAATTTCAGTCATCCTCCTTAAGAGGACTTTGTTCCATAATAATATCTACTACATACTTGCACTCCTTTTCCCCCCTTCATGAGAACCTTTGTTCTTATATATCCTAGGTAGGTTTCTTCCCCATCAATAAGTTGCTAATTTGGTATCCCTCCCTCTTTAGGATGCTTGTCTATGGTATTCTAGGCATGAACAGGGATCAGACAAAATTAGGAACTTGCCTTCAAACTCTCTGCTCAGTGATCAACTATTTGAACCAACTCTTGTTGAAGGTTAATATGTGTGAGACTCCTCCTAAAGAAATTTCTTCAATAAGACTTAATTTTCTCCCTTAAATATTGCAAGAACTCCAGTACCAGTGTACTGCTTAATACGATATCACAACATATACAATATTATCCCCTCAAAGGCAACATCTCAGTGCAAATGCCCTCAATTAAGTTGCTTGATATTCATCTTGCTTTTGGGGCTTGAAGTAGGAATTTGCCACTTTCCTCTAAGTTTCTACAGCTGTTCATTCTCATATAAGCAGTTCATATTCCATTTTCCAAATACTCGATATTTTCCTTTTTAGACATGCCTATAAGATCAAGGCTTTAATGATTTGCAGCATAGTAATCTAAAATAGTAATAAATCGTCTCAAAACTTCTTTGAAGTACCTTATGTTGAAAGTAAAATTGAAGCTATTCTTCTACTCAGCATGCTGCAAAAAGTAAAATCTTCCTTGCACACCATTTTTGGTAAACACACAAGGGAAATCATATTTGTTTTTGGTCCTTCTGTGATGAGTTGTCTTCATACTTGACAGTTGACGGGAAAAGGCTTGGACTATAATGGTTCAGATTTTATAATATAGAAGTTTAGAGAGATTACACATCCATTACAAAAATGGTTTTGATCCTTATATTTCTCAAATTGTCAATTCGTAGGCTCATGAAATGTCACTCAATACAGTCTTTAATTGACTTAAAATTTCACTATATAAGAAATGATCATCTCCCTGGCATATGTGCACAATTCATGCCATAATCAGCTAACACAGTTCATGTTGTTTTTGCTCCCATGGTTGACTTTTTAATAACCAAAATTACACAACATTTAAGTTTGCTAAAGAATATCTTCTAAGGTATTTCAACTAGAACCTCAAACTTTGATTGCTCATATGGGAACATTTCAGCTGATGTTAATAAAGTATGGGATAACGGAGTGCAAGATATTTGACGCCGAACGACAATATGCCCCATAATAATAATTAAACCAAGGAAACTTATTTTTTATTCCCTGAGGTGTTATATTAAATATTATAGCTGTAATATTGTCTGTTTAGCTTTTGGAACCTTGGAGGGTAACAAAGATTCTTGTTATGGTTTAGTTAATTATCCACATTGACCTTTGTTGTACTGGATAGCTTCTTTTGCTCTGAATGCTACATGCAAGAGCATGCATCTATATAATTGAGCCCATGTATGGTTGGCTATATTCGTAAATGCTCCAAGCCAGATGAGTAATCTTATGTATATATCTGTTTTGCTTTATGATTTGACTACCTTTTTCTCTTTCAATGCTTAAACGATCAGTAACTATACCTTCAACACCCCCACTGTATCTATCAATTTGAAATTAGTTGATTCTTCCTTCGAACAATATCATTCCTTACTTTTAATATGGGGAAGAGAGATGCTTGATCTATGGAAATATGCAAGAACTTAATCACACGACTCAACAAATTCTTATCCCTGTCTAGGACCATATTATGTTGCCATATGATTAATCATTATATTAACTGTAAGGTGATGCATGGAAAATCAGGCGAAGCTTTCAAGTTCAGATGTCAAACAGTTGAAATGTTGAACCATTTGCAGATGATGGTTTGTTCAACCACCTTTATTTATTGTGTAGTGGGTACTTAAGTCTTTGATTCCAGCATCTTGAATGAGGTCATAGATAGAGATCACCGTTATCATCATAATTCACCATCTACACTTCTTCTGTCAAAATGAGGTTAGTTGCAGGACGCTACTACTACTAAAGGCTTCATGATGTGTCGACGGTTGGTTCTGAACTTAAACTCAGGGTCAACAATGAGAAAAGATATTTAGACTGTTTCGTATAGGGGAATTTACTTGATTAATCAAGTGGACTCATCCTTTTAGGTGAGACTTCGGAAAAAGGATAAGTTGGAGGGAAAAATTGTGATAACTATAATATTCTTGTCAAAAACAGACACTAGCAAGTATTTTGGGGTCCTAAACAAGCTGAAAATTGAAGTGTATCAAGTAACATGTCTTTTTGTCAAATAAATGTGCTTATCCTGTCTTTTCTAAGTTTAGCTTCATGCTACCAGAACAGTGTATTCTCTTCATCAAGAGAGCAAGTCTTTTGATAGCTGAGAGCATAGCTATCCTTGGATAAGTTTGTGCTGTCTTCAAGGGTATCCCAAAGTTCTCACTGACTAAAGAGTGTCCAAATGAGGCGCGATGTTTGCCACTGGGAACTTCTTCCTTCCTTGAGGCGCAGTGAAGTTTTAGTCTCTACCTGAACACATCACTTATCTTAGCATCTTTTAAATTAGTGAAATTAGAATTCCAAACTGTTTCATATGACCGCTAATGTATAAACCATTTACCAGTTCAAATTCACTGGTGAAATCCATGGTGCCATTATCTAGAAGATTGAAATTCAAAATTGTATCTATCGAATTAATTCAAAGTTTCTAGATGTTTGCATGCCCTCGGATACCTTTTTGTACCAGTTTTACTTGTACAAAGGTGCATATTGGCTCCATGGGAGTCATTAAAGCACATCAGCTTCTATCTAGCCACAATCTACTCCTACTAATTTTGTTTAAACTCGTCATAGAAGAGACTGGTTAGCTTCTGAATAGTCGGGTTTACTCTGTCGCTTGATTTACTAATGCTTTGTTATGGATGGTTACTGTAGGTTTAGTTTTTGTCGAGTTATTTAGTTCATATTACCTAGAGGGGATTGTTTTGTTTCAGGATGAGTTTATCTGAGCGATGTTCTTCATTGGTGGAATCCGTTAGCATCAAACTATTAATCAGAGACACCATTAACCGAAATTAACTGACATCTTAGGAGGCCTTTGAATATCAAGTAGGCTAATCCAAGGCATATCTTTACCCAAATTGGGATAAACAGTTATTTATGAATGTTTTGGAAGTGAACCCTATTAACCTGTAGGGATATTTATCATGCACCAAATCGCTCTTGTTATGCTAGAGAGAGAGATGAGGTTCT